AATATCACAGGTAGAAATTTTTTATGAATTTTCATTTCATGCGGTGTTCTAGAAGAAAAATTTCTTGAAAATAAAAAATTGATTAGATTAGATGTGAATTGGTTAAGTTAGAAACGATTAAGGAATTTGGTTTTTTTTAAATTATAAATTAGACTGTATATCTTTTTATCTCGCAAAGATATAAAAATCGTATTACTTCTTTTTTTGTGCAGGACATCAATAATGGATCTATATTATATAATAATGATAGTCTGATTCTTATTTCAATTATTTTAGTAAAAAAAGTAAAAATTAATATAATATGTACAATGGAGTTCGAGAGAAAATTCATTTGGCAATATCGAGTACATATATCTAGTTCAACGATTAATGCAGTTCAGTCTATTTGTGGACGATCCATGGGATCGATAAGCGAGAGAGAATTGTCGAAGAGAAGCGGACACGCGACTTTTGGTTCGCTGGATAAATCGTAGTTATACCGGACATCGCGTATTGACCAATCAAAGCTCGTTTATGTACTTGATGGTTGTTCCAACTCCGATCGCGGCTCTCGAATCCCTTTTTGAGCACGAATCTAAATTGACGATTCGAATCAAGCAAAATCAATACGTATTTTCGTGAGAAAAATTTTCATTGATCTTCCAAATTAAAACAAGTTACATTAATAGTTTTTAAACCTTTTCGATTTTAGGCATTATTTTAATAATTTTGATGTTTCTAAAAAATTATAAAAATAGTTTTTTATTGGCCTATAACTTGATGTCATAATCTAATTTGATTATGACGCGATATTAACAACCTCATTTATTTCAACTTAATATTTTTAAATATTTACACTAAATTTATAATTAATTCACACTAATTTTTTGTTAAATTAAATAATTTTAATAAATGATTTATTATATAACAAATTATTAATAAACGACATATATAATTTTATATTTTGACACAACTATTTGAAAAAGTCATTTATATAAATTTTAATATTTTTTATTAATTCTACTAATCTTTTTTTTTATCATAACATGAATATTTGAAAAATCTTAAAATATTTCATATATCGGGACTGAAAGATGTAAGCAACTAGCTGTTGCGAGCTTTTCATTAGTTTACATAAGCTTCGTTTTACTCCGGTTTCTGGATAAAATCTCAGAGCGTAAACATTTATAGCATGGGTAAATATCGAAGCGGAAGAATATCCCTTTCTTTTTCCGGATGTTTTTGTCGTTCCTTTTATGGTGACGTGCATGACTGCTTCCATGATAATCCATAGTAAATCCGAACAAAGTAGAAGCACGCATGGATGCAAGTGGAACGCGGTTCAATATGCACAGACTCGACTACTAATTAATTACTCTGTTATAATTCAAACGCAACCTCAACACAATTTTAGAACTCGTAGTTCGAGAGGAAGAATAATTAATAACGTTTAATTGCACAAAAATACCTTATTATTTCTACGTGCTTATTAAAAATTGAGATCAACAAAATTGTGGTAAATCCTTTTCAAGACCGCGATATTGCTTATTAAAATGTGCTACATAATCTTTTTCAATGAGAAAGATTTTTCATCCTTTATTATATCCTTTCGACAAATATATAATAAATCAAATAAAGAACAATTTGACTAGTTGAGTAGTTAAAACTGGCTGCCCTTAATTCTATCTGGCGTTTCTCGATTTATTATTACGTTGGGGAGATCGAGGTGCCTCACGGAAACTAACTGTCAGCGCCGGAAGCGCTAGATCTGTGCTGGTGTAACACCAGGAAGTACGACCGGTAAATAATATGAGGATAGAATCGAACATGCAGACAGAATGCTTAATCCCGCGGTTACTGACCTCCGTCTTTCAGTAGATTTATGTGAGCTCGGTTTATCGCTCGACGTACCCAGTTTGTTGATATCGTGCTGCAAGTTGATCTTTTTAACATACTCATTTCCGTAGATTTACTCAAATAGAAGTAATATACGTTGCATAACCTGATTCTCGTTTTCTTATACAGTATAAAGTGATTCGTATTACCGATGGTAAGTCAATAGATAATTCTATATAAAAAAAATAAGATAAAAACAAAAAAATAAAGTCATTTTGTTGACTTTGTCTAAAGGAAATCAATGAAATAACTCATAAGGGTTTTTTTTTACTAATAATATTGACTAACGTTTCCCAATGTCCGTTTGTAACTGCAAGGCAAGATGTGATTTTCCTTCTGGAATGGTCTTTTCTCCAAACGGGAGGGAAGAATTTATGGCATGGGGGAACCGTATTCTTTCGATAAAGCCGTAGGATGTGCGCCAATACAACCGTCTGCAACCTCGTGTCAACATATGGACGGATATTTCCGTTTCGTGTTGGCAACGACACACTGCGCGACGCTTGTAACGGAAGACACGTGAAAACACATTCCGAAACGAATCTAAACTTCACAAACACAGTCGGTTATCTATCCTCCGCACTTTCCACGACGCATCGTAAACGACAGATTTATTGAAAGAACAAATTAACGTTCAATCGTTTATGGATGAATTGCCCTCGTGGGATATTTGCGCAAAATGTTATTTCTCGAAAGCATACAACGCTTGCTGATACAACTTTCGAGAGTGTAGCCGTAGAAAACAATTTTACAGAGATGAATTTTAATTATTCCTCTTGCGCGAAAAAAGTTTCTTTATATTCAGAACTTTTTATCTTTATATCTTTATATCTTTTAAGAATAGTTCGAATATTATATTTAATTCGTTAATAATAAGTAGATACACAAAAAAATTCTCGACCGGATGTACTGATGTGGCCTAGTTGTAAAGTCAATTAATGGAGATAAAGAAGATGATTGTTGATCACAGAGCTTTGTCTTACTTATTTATACATATTTTATTACGCCGGTATCGCAGATGGAATTGTTAATTTTGACTGTTGCGTGAATATTTACAATTCATTTCCGGTTGTAATTAAAGCGCGGCCGGATGCTGGTTGAGATCATATTTTCGCTGTTAAATGCACATGTGCTACAACCTCGCCCGCTTGACTTTCTTAATTAAGAGACGGCTCAGTGGCTCATACTTTTATTTTTTATACTATGTTCTTCTCTCCTAATCAAAATATTAATCCTTAATAATTATTATAAAGTTTTGTAAACTTTTTATATTGCACAACATGATTCGTTAAAATTAATATATTTACAGTGGAATAATGTAAATCGCATCTACTTTCCTTAAGTTTTCTTTAATATATTAATATTTAGTATTTAATATAAAATTAATATATTTACGGTGGAATAATGTAAATCGCATCTACTTTCCTTAAGTTTTCTTTAATATATTAATATTTAGTATTTAATATAAAATTAATATATTTACGGTGGAATAATGTAAATCGCATCTACTTTCCTTAAGTTTTCTGTAATATATTAATATTTAGTATTTAATACATTTAGGTTTTTCATTCTATCATATTTTGCTATTAAACTTTGAGAAAATTAAGTTTATTGGGATTTAAATGAATAATGAGATTTTTTGTTTTATTGCTGTTTAAAAGCTTGGTTTGTAAATTTATACAAGTTTATACTTGCTTATTTATTACAAAATATATAATGTCATTTATTACAAAGTTAAGGTCTCGACTTGTTAGAAGAATAGAAAGTTTTATATGCATTGGAAAATTCTTTGCTCACGTAAATTTTGGAGTTTCATTATTGCGTGTGTGTCGACCGGCACGATCGACCATTGGAAAACAACGAAGTTGTTCGCCGAATACTAAAGATTTTAAACTTCCGGGGCGGACTTCATCTGACTTGTGTGCGCGTTCATCTGCGAACCGATCCCGGATTTTATCCGTTACGTGATCGCAAGATCGCCGGATATCCTTTATAGGCTATTTATGTTAACTTCACTTTGAATTTTAAAGGCAAATTGAATTAACTAATAAAGTAATTTATACTAACGTCGCGATATCTTAAAATAAAATATATCCGATTAAATTATTAATAACATAATCGCGTTCTTTTTTTACATTTTCTGAATACAATTTGAAAGTTAGTATAAGTATAAATAGATTTGTAGTATATTAGGTTGTGAATAATTTTTATAATAGAAAAATCTTCTTTATAAGAAATTTTTTATTTTGTCTAAAATATTAACAAGTTACCTACTTATTGAAATAATATTTTCTGTAATATTAATTTTTTCATTGAGTTAAAGATTTGTGCTGGATATTAATAGAAAGTTAAGATTGACTAATGAAATCAATTTAAAGATAATTTTATTCTTTTCATATATAGAGGTACTTAGCTCTTTTATAAAAGTTGTTCAATAAATTCAGCACTGTCTACAATTGTCACTTCGCAGCGCCGTAATTAAAGCCAGAGTGATCCAAAAGTGTCATATGAATAGAAATTGGAGAACAATCGATAGAACGATCGAAATTGTATCGCAGTGCTCCGACTTTTATAACACAGCAGGCGTGATTTGCGCCTTTATGCGGGCGTGCGGCAAATGGAACGTGGGAATGCGAGAACTCTTCAAGCGAGTGCGCTAGCTTTATAGAAATAGCAATCAATGTTCATGATAGAGAAAGAATTCGTGCGACTCGCACAACTTGATGATTTTCTCAGCGATTCTGTGCCATTTGAATATCAAAGGGCGTCTTCGATTGAAGAAAACTACTAGGAAGAGAAATTTATCTGATTATTGCGTAGGAGATTGCTAAAGATAGAATTAAATCTCACAGAGGGATTTGACTTTTCACGATAATGTCAAAAAGCGATAACATTTCCATGTCGAAGTCTAAAGATAGCTACGAATTTTTTATAAGAAATAAAATGTAATAAATTTCAAATGAAACTTGAACTGAAATTGAAATTAAATCGGATATTAAACTTTGTTCTGTTCTAATAATTATAATTCTGACAATCTATAAATAATATCAATATATATTGAATAGAGGTTTAATGATAATGATAGCTTTACGACGAATTGAGATCTACATTTGATTGGTACTCACCCTTATTGGTGCTCTTGTGTCTTCTTCGCTTGGTCCTGTTGCAAGACGGTTGTTTGTCCTTGTTGCAATGTGTACCATCGATATCGTCGAGTGATACTGGAGCTGCCGCTGTATCTGCTTCCAACAGATTTCTGGATCCTCCCGTTTGTCGTTCAGGAGTCATAATATTACCGGATGTCCCTGTTTCTTTTCCGAGAAAAGTGCCGATCGAGTGCCTTCTTCGATTGGCCGTTGTAGAAAGAGTAGAGGAAACATTATAATATCTGCAAAATATTTTCCATTATTCTATAATTTTTCTTTTTTTTAAACATCTATTCTATATTTAGGATATACAGAATGTTTGCAATTTTTATAAATTATTTTTTAACGGCAAATTATTTGATAATAAAACCGAAGAGGTAATGAATAAAACTTGGAGCTTAATTACAAAGATATAAATTAATTATATTAAAATTAGTTAAATCGTTAAATGAAAAAACGACTTCCTTCAACAAAATAAAGTGATAATTGTCTTATTAACCTGGCATCATTCACACCGAAGAAAACTTCCGCGGTATCATCATTGTCGTTGCTGTTATCATCATCGCCATCATTTTGATCTTTGGAATTACTCGCTACACCGCAATAAATCATATCATTAGACAGAAGTTCGCTGGCAGATTTCAAGACTCTTCTGGTCCGGCCTGGATGACGGCGATCCTTCTCGGAGTGCGAATGTGACCTGCGTCGAGAAGACAAGTCAAAATTCGTACTCCTAATAACAAAATGTATACAACTAAATTAAAACACAAATAGCTGAACAAATTAAATTAAATCAATTTAGATTAAATCAAAAAAATTAATTTAAATTAAATTAATTTAGATTGTGTGTCTCGATATTCATGAGAAAAAAAAAATGATTTTTACCTGTGAGGTAAATACGGTGACGGTGGCGCAACATCGGACGGCCTCGGGTCGCCTTTGAGGAACTTTTGCGTACGTTCATGTTCCGCATTCGCGCTCACGGACCGGAAGAGATTGCGGAAGCTCCTCCTTTTGCCGCATCCGGGATTGATCGCGCCGTTCTGCGACAGCATCGGAACGCGCTCCTCCGTTGGTGTTGACGGTGTTGACGTGCCTGTTGCGTTGCCGCGACTCTCATGACGCACGTTAGACGTGAATTCCGAGATCAGGACGCCACTCTGGGATGAAGTCGCCGCACCCATCTTGCAGGTCCTTCGACGAAATAAGGCGGAAAAGCTCCTGGGCGACGTCGGGGATGCCGATGTTGTCGCTTTCGACGACGATGCCCCGCCAGATAGTGAAAAGTACGACGGATTATCTGTAAACATATGTATCGAACGGATCCAGGTCACGACCTTAACTCACGCACTGAATATTTTCTTCTTCGGCCGTTTACGAGGAATTATTAGATCATTGTTGTGATGTGATCTTCGTACATGCTACAGCGCACGCTATGCTAAGGCAAATCGGCGTTGGAAAAAAACATGAGATTTATAAATCCTTATGAGATGTCCACCATTAGCTTATAATTAACACAAGGATTCCATGTGTTCTGTACAATTAATATCGTTATACAATATTAATTAACAAATCTCTCACGTACGCGCGCAATTCTCACTTCGACCGCGTTATCATCAACAGCAAGGGATAATTATTAGTCTAAGTAATTATTTAATTAGTCTAATGTAGCAATGTTGTCTAATGTTCTTTAATGTCTCATTGAATCACAGAATCTGACCTTTGACTCACTCGCACCGCGAATTAGAACCTAAATGAAGATTTATACATTAAATGCCGTATTTTTTTATTTTTTTAATATTGCAAGCCCACCGTTGCAATATCGGTGTCGCACATGTGATTTGTAAAGGAAACGTTCGTTTAATTTGAGATTAAAGTGTCATTTGAAGTGATATTTGCTCTTATTGCGGCCCGAGTTAATGCTACAGCCACGACTAGGCTAATAGCGAGTCCACCTGTGACTGTGGGACTCGCGTTATGTCCATGGGACACCATGGACGAGTCTTGCAACGACCATTGGGTTCGGACATAGTGGGGGGATACATCGGACCGGACGTTGCATTGTTCCCCCACTCGATAAACCGGCAGAAATACACGGTAACTGCGCCGGAAATGCACCTTAATGTGTGAAGTTGAGCCGGTGGGCATTATCCGGATAAATTCTATCTAGTTCGCTATTCGGATAAAATTTTATTTGTTAATCACACTTATTATCTCTCGCCACTAGCATATTCTTTTTTTTCGTCCACATAAACGACGTAAGCCTCAAAATATGAAGTAAAGTGTTTAAAAATATATACGTTTATTTTTCATTTTAATAACTGAAAAATTTTATCGTTAGTATATGAAGAGCAAAGAAATATTCAAATTATATCATTGTTTATTTAAATCATTGTTTACTAAAATATAGCCTCGCATATTTAAATCTGGTAAATATGTGCCGAAATCACATTACGGATTACATTTGCGATTTCGACCAACAAATGTTACGAGCAGGCTACTGTTTGTCTGCGAGTGAAAATGAGAGATGTGAAGGATGCACAATTGTGCGTGAACGACGTGTCTCGCGTGCCGAACACAATTCTGAAATCTGTATGCGATCTCTGCGATCTCCGTTGCGATTGTACCAAGAAAGAATAAGACTCACCGATTGCCATGATGACTTTTTTTTTTTTTATAAAAGGGCTCAGTTGAATGCCAAGGATATCTGTAATATAAAAAATATATTATATTATAATTTATTTTTATATTATTATTGCAGAAATATTTTTCTATCTGACAAGAAGAAAAATTTACGCGAGAACAGTTTAGATAGAAGATATTTTCAAAATTATTCGACAAATAATTTATAACTAGTTCGCGAAGATCTATCTACTTTCCACTGTTTTAACTAAAAATTATTTAATTTTAAAAAGAGATATTCTGTATAACTTCTTCGGCAGATTTCTCTTAAAAATACTTTTTTGGAACCTTCTGCTTTTCAGATACAGATTCCATTCGTACGTTCCCTGCGCGTTTGATCCCGCGGCGCTTGCTATCGAAAACTCGTGCTGAATTTTCGATGAAAGAGCTCGTTATCGCGAATCACCTCTCTCCTAATTCAGAAGATCGCACGCGGGAAAGTGCAAGTGTCCGTCGGACACTTTCATTCATCGCTGAAAATACACGCGAATATTATATTTAGCATGGCGAGAGGCGCGCATTGCGCTCACGGGGGACACGACTCGTTTACACTTGTCTGCAGAAAGGGGTAGAGAACGAAGAAATGGGGGTCGAGTGCAAATACGATTCATTCACGTTACATACACGTGACATTATCACGTTGTCCTCCGCGTATCTCGCATCCGCCGATTATTATCCGCACAATAGATCCACCTATCAAGTTGCTTTACGAGGGAATCTTTCCTTTATGGGAAAAGATTTCTTGCCATGCGCAAGCACGTCGTAATAATTAGAATTCTAGTATCTATTAATTGCGACAATTTATTTTTTTCACTTCAATTATTTCTTCTCTCAAAGTTTACGAACTTCAAAAAGTAAAATTCATAATTTCGATATCTTTAACGTATGTACATACGGAGGTTATTTTCATGTGAAATTATATAGTCTACTTTTCCCCGCGTTTTATTAGACATATATTACAATTATATTTGTCAATTCACGTGATTGTGATTAATGATATTAGTTGGGAGAATCTGTGCCTTTTCTCGAATTTAGTTCAGCAAATATGCGATGCAGCGACAATTTTCTGCTCTCATAGTTGCCGCAACGGTTACTATTTTCGTACGACCAGGAGAGGCAGAACGTGTGCCTGGTAGAGGTACCGATAAATAGAAAGAGGAAGAGAGAGAGAGAGAGAGAGAGGGGGGGGGTGGGGGAGAGAAGAGAAAAGAGAAAAGGATAGCAAGAGATTGAAAGAGAGGGAAATAGGGTGATTGTACCCATGAAAAGTCGAATGTTTTGATATGAACACTTTTTGCCGAATTGTGCGTCTGAAGGAATGAAATATGCGATATATTATGATCAGTATAAGTACATTAATATACAATACTGTGGATTATTAAGATGTAATTATTTTAAAGATATAAAGGCAATAAGTTTTTTATTACGTATCTATAAAATTTAAGAAAAATGGAAATTTTATAATATTCGTTTTTAACAGAGTTAGACATTAATTCGTAATATAGTAAAAAACAACACACGTAAGGAGAACCATTATTAATTGATTATTGCAAAAAAATGTAAATTTTTAAATTAATACAATGGAATATGAAAGAATCGAGATACGGACGGTTAATTATATTACAAACTAATTTACTTATTACATATCGGGAAAGTGATAATAAAAAAGTTAATAAAAATTATAGATTGCCGGATCGGAAGATACAGTTAATTGCATTTTACAGCCTGTTTATTCTGAAAAAGAGATCATTTTAAACGGAAATAATATATTACATTAATGGTTGGTACGCGTGTGGGTAGCGACGTACCTCGCAAATAAGAAATCTATTAAGCATGACGATACTTTTTATCTCCATTGTTCCTCGTATCGATCGCTTCACCCAAACTTACTCCGCAGATATTCCGTGTCTTCGTAAAATACGCATCTTGCGTTAAATATCGCATTCACTTCGACTCACAAAATTGTCGAAAGTACCCGATTGGCTTGTCATAATTTTGCGGAAAGTCGAACGCGCACCGGTTCCAAAGTTGAACGCGTTTTCCCGAACAAATCACGCACATTCGTTGCTATTAATAGAGGCCTGTTCCTGCGACCGTCGCGGTGCACGCCGCGCAGCGTCGCGTCTTGCATCTGCACCTGCAGCGACGCATGGTCCGATAAAAAGAAGCCTGTATCCGGCGATGTGCACGTGCCCCTGTAAACGCGCACATGTGCGGCACACGCTATATCCAGAATGCAGCGCGTTGTTCGAGACTATAAAGATGCAGCTTTTAACGCGAGCACAATCGGGGAGGCTCTCTTGCTCGGAAAAACGACTCGACTCTCCCTTTGCTTACCTTTTCACCTCTAATTCATCCCGTCGTTATTGTTACTTCTTGAACGCTTTTCGTCTTTTAAGGGAAAGACAAATTTACTTGCTATACAAGATTGTTTCTGATAATTCCTGAGATAGTAAAGCGAGGGAAAATATGTAAGAAAATTATGTACGTGGATGGATGGAAGGAGAAAATTATTGTTGATCTGAGATATATCTATACTTAAAAATTGGAACTTTTGGAAAACGATTCTTATTTAAAATCATTCAAGTTTACGTTCCTTTTCTTGATTTCATTTCATTAAAACAATCTTTGAGGGTTTCCAGTTTTGTAAGATATCAGTCTATATCAATCGACATAGTTATTAAACAAATTGATATAAAATGGCTTGTTAATCATAACATATCGTTAAATGTTAAATAATAAAAAGAAATAGTAAAAAGATAGAAGAGATACATTTTAATATACACTACATCTATATGTACTATCCAAATAATATACACTATATCTATATGTATTTACCAAATATACTGTATGTATAGATTGGTTTATATATCACTAATGAAAATATCCGTTTGTATAAAAGCCGTTATCTACAGGTCCTGAAAATATTCATTGTAGAAATGTGAAGTGAAAATGGTCGGTATAAAAGTAGAATTTTCGTGAGACAGATTTACTCCTTCGACGTAAATCAATTTTGCATAGTACGCTGGAGAGTACGAGTATGCAAATATAAGTCTAATCGATTTATCACGCGACTTACAAACTCACCTTCAATGTTTCATCGTTAATACAGCCTTTCATTATTCAATTTTCATTTGTTCTATAATTAAGATGACTCTCGAGAAGCGATATTTAAAAGAGAAGATATTTTATAATGAGCTTCAAGCCATGTTAGTTTGACACTATCGAATAAACGATGTATCATTCATAAGACCAATTCCTATTTGTTTCTTCTTGTTTTTCTTCTGAATTGCATATAACCCGTAATATCTTCTTTGCATAGCTTATCTGTGTTTTATAATCTGTAATTATTTCACGCATCTTTATATACTCTTTTTCAGATCTTTAATATTCTCCACACAAAAAATGTCTCGTCATATATTTCTTTACGAAACAAAATATTTCTTTACGATGATTGCAGAGTTAAGCGATCTTATTCATTGATCAGGGTAAGACAGCCTGATTACAAATTGTACACAAATTATTTCATTTGCTGGGACGATCGGTATTTGCAGGCTTAAAGTGTTTTTCATTGCATGCGAACGTATTCGCGTCCGTTCGACACTTAATTAACATAGTCAGTTATGATTCACGAGATCACTGACGACGATCGATCATCAAGATCTTGATGCTGGTCTATTCGATCGTGCGGCAATTAATATAGAAACATTATGATAGCAGCTCTCTCTTCTTCTTCACGTTTCAGGCACTGTTATCACCTCTGTCGTAGCCATATCGCGAAGAGGAGATCGCCGGAAACGATCTCGTGGTCTTTTCCGGGACTTTTCAGTTATCACTTAGGGATTCGAAGGTTTCGACCCTGTCAGGGTCATGCTCGGTCAGAAATCGTGCACGGGTACTGCACAACACTTCATGAAGCACTGACAAGCCAGGCCAGGAGGGAGCTCCATCGTCGGTGCTACCATATGATTGCTCGCTCCCTTGCTCGCTCGCTCGCTCGCTTCGCGTTCTCCTTCTCTTCTTCACTGCCACCACCCACGCATCTGGCAATAGTGCGAAGGAACGCCCATACTTCGTACGAAACGTTATTTCGGGATAGACAAGGACGGCAAAACTGAGACGCCGAAGGACGGTTCGTCAACGGTAAAGAAAAACGAATTCACGTGCGTCTTGACCATCCTCGCGTGAACTTTTCCCTGGTATTTGAAAGCAAAAATTCAGCAAAATTTCAGACCACGATTGTAGAATTTGTACAATACGCTATATATTCATTTGTCATCAATAACGTTTTGCCGTATTGATTTATCGAGGTATGAACTACAGAGATATGAAATGTAGAGCTATCACGCAACGTATATAAAAAAATTAATAAAATTTTTTAAAATTAATTTCTTATTTTTTCCTTGGAATATTGAAAAAAGAAAAATAATAGCTGAGGCAGTCTTTCTGGAAAAACAGATTAGCGCGTGTTTCTCCTAAAATTGATATAAGGAAGGTTTCATTTCTTCTTCCGATAAGAGTTCAATAACATCTTTCCTTAAAAGATATCATCGTTCAATGGTCAACAGTTGAGAAAGAACATGAATAATTTTGTGATACTTACAAAACATACGTACATGGGTGTGCTCTCTCAGTGTGCTCTAGGTGCTTACCTTAATTTCTATTCAGGTAAGAATAGCGCCACGCGTGCACGCTTGCGTGTCTGTCACGCATATGCGTGCGGAAGCCGAGCGGAGCGTGTATTTCCTGCCCTTGGAAAGCGTACACATCTTCTTGAGCAGCGAAAGGGTTCGACCCTTTCGACACATTTCTCGCAGCCGTGTCTCGTAATCCTTTCAGTGATTACCCTACCGTAACTCGTGCTCGATTTAACTTGCGACGCAAGGAACGCGTGCTGCAGCATTTTCATCGGATCTATAATCAAATTAATGATATTCATAAAGCCGGAAATTAATTCCGCAATTGCCGCGATCTTCTGCTAGCAAGAGTCAAGCTTCATACCGTCGATTTATAAGCTCGTGTTCGTGGAAAAAAAAAATCTGAAATCCTTCAAACGGAAAAAAAAATTTTTTTTCAATTGACACATATATTTTTTTTCGTTGGCAATATTTGCTACTTTATTAAGAGATATTTTCATTCCGTTCATGGAGGAATTGTAAATCGAGAAAAAAAATTGTCACAAAAAACTTTTCCTAAATTTGACCATTTTACTTTTGAGCAACTTTAGGTATTAAATAACTAGCTTCATGATACAAGCGCCTGACACGTGTCGGCCAAATGGTTATACGTTTCTTCAAACTATTGAATGCTGCCTACTTCTTTTTCTTTTTCACATTATATTCATTGTGCATTGAATTTTGATGATAAGGCCTGCGCAACTTGAGATATATATATATATAAAAAAAAAACACAATGCGACCATCTCGCGAAAAAATATTGATTAAATACATAAAGATTTATTTGTAAATAAACATTAAAATAAACATTATTTAAAATTATTTCTTATTTTTGCCTATGTAAAATTGCTGAACTTTATCATTTATCGTTAGCTGCAGAGAATGCACCGGAGAGTTTGAAAAAGTAACATTAGTAGTTGTAAATGAAAGTGCCGGCGACTGTTTTGTCGTATTCATGCAGAAGCAAGAATGCATAATTGATCCATACATTCATTCACGTTTCGACGCGTCTCTCCCGTTTGCCTCTTCTTGCGATTCTTCAAAGAATTTGAATTTCCAATCAAGTTTCCCCGCGTCGACAAACATTCGTGCTTAGCGTGTCCCGCATATAAATCGAATTTCTTTGGGTGACAAATATATAAATAGTAGAAAAAAAAAAATATATATATATACGACAATCTGTCAGACAGTAGTAATATATTTAATATTCTTATATTTCTCTATAACAAATTAAAGTCATGCGATTCAGTGCAGCGTTGGTGAGATATGGCTCGCTACTTCCACTGGCTCGATGACGTTCGATAATACTCAATCTCAATGAACAACAATTGGTTCTCGATTATAGAAATATCAGAGAATGAATAAGTCGCACTACTTAATCTCGCTTCCACGGTCGGTAAAGTAGCAATATGCATGTAGAGGTTCAAGGTTATTTAACCGCGAGTGAAAGCCGCGAGTCTCCAGAGTCTTGCGGAGCTCAATGTTTCATGGTACTCCTTGCAACGCGTACAACCGCGTGTACTCCGAAGCGAAACGTTACCTGCTGTCTCGTTGCGGAGGATCGGGACTGGTCTTCGTGTCCGTAAGTGCTCCTCCACAATCTTCCACGCACAGCTTCTCGAAAGAAGAAGCGATTTTTGTAGAACGATGACCGTTAGTCTCAAAAGCCATCTCAAGACTCTCAGCGATAACGGTGCTTACGTAAGAGCAAATACATGATCGTTATGTTGTCGGCATCATTTATTGACAAGCATTGATAAACGCGTTTTATTCCGATGTCGATTTGGTATTTAAAATGGTGCTTGAACAAATATGCGTGCATTAATGTAATTTCCTGGGATTCTCTCCGTCTCACTTTCTCTCTTTCTCCCTCTTTCTCATGAAAATATGGAGGTAAAAAATTATTAATTAAATTTCTCATACCACACATTTTTTTTAATGCTATATTAAATAAAAGTTCCTGGAAGTCTTTCTCTACCGGCAATACTAATATCGCAATGATAGCTTTCACGGAACGGCAACGTAATATATTGCGGTTTATAATAAAGCAGTAAAGATAATCTTTCAGAGGTAATTGATGTATTGGAAAACAGTTTTAGAAATTTTAAAAACTTTCGACGAAGAATGACGCAATGGACAACTGCGATTGTACGTTCGTAGAGTTTATAATTACTTTTTTTCAAATTTATGCATTTTACTCGCTCTACGAAATGACCTTCGCTCTGCGGATAGCTAGGTGCGTGGCGCAAGAGAAGGCGTAGAATTAAATCGCACTCTTAACTCAATATCAAGAGGAAAATGAGTTTTGCTTTATATCCTTCGAAGTTCTGGTTCGAAGAAACTGGGTAGCGAGAAGCCTTATTTCAATGTACATTGAGCAAAAGATTCCACAGTTTCTCGCGGTAATTTTATTGCTTCTCTAACGTTATAATTGTGTATAATAAGTACGACCGGGAAACTTGCTCGGGAAAAATATCGAAAAATATTTTAATTTAGTTCGATATTTGTAGATTTCAAAGAATGGGATATGAATTCGAATAATTAATTATATATAAAGATTTTAAAGGGGATAAATATGTGATTTTAGTTTCTCTCTTTTTGAGATAAGGCGAATACGGGAATAGCAAGGGTGAATAGCAAGCCGCAACTGCGCAATGGTGCGAATTGCGTGTTTTGTAACGAGGGTGCCGGCTCGGGATGGCGAGTACGCAGTCGCGCGGGATTCCCCGGGAATCGGGTCTTTCCGGGTCTGCGACACGGTTTTCCCTTGACTCGGTTCACTTTGGCGTCCGAGGTAGTCGACAACGCGACAGCGACGTTCACGGACTAACTTGTTCGCTCTCGCAACAGGTGACGGAATCCTCGACTGACTGGGTTTAAAAAGCGACAAGAGATCTTCAACGAGAAGTCCGGGTAGCGGCTGCGACCTTTTTTTTCGCGTGCAAACGCCCTCGTGGAATCTCTAAGGGAGTAGGGTGGTAATAGAGCGTCAGGGGATTTCGGAAGGAGTCGCGAAATGAGTGTCGAGGACGCCATCAATTACTCTCCCAGCGAGGAGGAGGACTATTACGCTCTGTTATCTTGCGACGAGTCTTCCACGGTGAGACCTAGCATGTTGAAAGGAATTTTTATTACGCCTTATGAAATCTGTGTCTCTGTTCTGGACTTATCGCTATAGTGCAACACACACACACACACACGCACGCACGCACGCACGCACGCACGCACGCACACACGCACGCACGCACGCAC